CTATAATATACAGCGCTGAGCAAACTTTCTGGCGCTATATAAATACTGTATAATAATAATAATAACCACTTTAACTGTAGTAAAGAAAGGCAAAGTCACTGGTCTGGCAATGTTGTCTGCCAGCGATGTCTGAATCGCAAGATTAGCTAAGTATAATAAAATGTGTTGAAGATAAACTAGCTCATGTGATAGATATTTAACCACTTGCTGCCCCATTGCTGTACATTTACTGTGGTGGGGCTGAACAGGCAAGCACAAACAGTTATATATACATGATTTGCCTTCCTAGTTTAGTGGTTTGCTGACCCACGCTGTGATTGGACACAGCAGGAGTTTGGAAGCTGATTTCACCCAATGACTCTGGCTGAAGTCATCTGGTTGGCTGTGTCCAATCATACACAAAGCTGTGTTTACAAATCGCAGAGCTCTGTGTGCAGGGAACGATGATCTGGCTGTCTTTCTCCCTTCTTTGCAGGGAGAAAATCATCCATATGGTAAAGAAAAAGCAGCACACATTGCACATTGTTGCCCCTAGATGTTTATCCATTTCAACCCAGAGTCATTAGTACAGTGACAGTTTACAATATTATCACTATTCACTGTATTAGTGTCAGTATTGATGTCAGTGTCAGTTATCTGACCCCAGCCGGCATCAGCTAGGGCCAGATTGCCCGCTACACTATCACAGTCCCACTATGAGTCGCTGACCACCTCCATTACTAGTACAGTGTCATAGCTACGTAAATATCAACATATATATTTATATATATATATATATCTTAGTTTGCGGACGCTTTAACTTTCACACAAACCAATTACCATACACTTGCTGGGATTTTTTTTTTTACCAAAGCCATTGGCCTAAATTTTAAAAAAAAAAATTAGATTTTTTTTTTTTTGGATTTGTTTTATAACAGAATGTAGAAAATATTGTTCTTTTTTGTTATATATAGTAAAAATAAAAAAACCAGTGGTGATCAAATACCGCCAAAAGAAAGCTCTATTTGAGTGAAAAATTATATAAATTTCATTTGGGTACAGTGTTGCATAACCATGCAATTGCCAGTTTAAAGTAGCGCAGTGCTGAATAGCAAAAAAAATGCCCTGGTCATAAAGGGGGTAAAACCTTTTATTACTGCTGTTTTAAAAAGTGAACTACAACAAATAATGAAATAGACAACTAACCATTATTTGTTGTAGTTCACTTTTTAAAACAGCAGTAATAAACCCAAAATTTTTATATTTTTTTTTGTTTAGGTAATTATATAGCGCCGTCAATTTACGCAGTGCTTTACATACATATATATTGTACATTCACATCAGTACAATATATATGTATGTAAACCCTCAAAGGGTGTTCCATCTAAGGTCCCTAACTCACAATCATACATACACATACTAGGGCCAATTTAGACAGGAGCCAAATCACATACCAGCATATCTTTGGAATGTGGGAGGAAACTGGAGTACTCGGAAGAAACCCACGCAGGCACAGGGAGAACATGCAAACTCCAGGCAGGAGGTGCCGTGGCTGGGATTCAAACCAATGACCCTAGTACTGCCAGGCGGAAGTGCTAACCATTTAGCCACTGTGCTGCCCCATACATTGCAGCTTAACAATCATTAGATGTGGTAGCTCCATTTTTTTTTCTCTTTTAGTCTTTTTTCCTCTGTTTTCACCTGGTGGGTGCTCTGGCTAGTAACACACCACCTATATTGGAATGCCCCCACTCTGGATGAATGCGCACAGGGACACAGCAGACAGCAGCAACACCAGCCTGAGGGCAGGGGAGTGTTAAATAAACTAGCAGATTTAAATACACTAACAACTTGAGCTCACACTGCAGTTACACAAGCAGTTACAGCAACATTTTTTTTTTTCTTCTGGGATAAAGGTCTTACATAAATAAATACAACGCTGAATTATTGCAATCACCCCTGTCAGTGGTAAATGGTTTGTCTTAACACTCTGATACATTTGTAAAACAGTATGTTCTTTTGAAAAACAACAGACTTACTCGACAGATCACCAGGGGAAAATAAAACAGAGCCTAAAAAAGAAAACTAATGCCGCCATCACATCCAAGAATTGGTAAGCTGCAATATAATAAATGCTTGCTTTTGGGTTTATTACCGCTTTAAGCATCTGATCTGTTCTTGACAGATAAAAACGCATATATATATATATATATATATATATATATATATATATATATATATATATATATAGAGAGAGAGTTCTTCTATTTTGGCTACTTTCAGCTAGTCTATATTTAATTTGAAAAAAATCTGAAGCAGCGATGACTGTATTGGTTTGAAAAGCAAATTCTGCAATAATATTTCTTTACATACAAATATTTCCAGCCTGCAGAGACTCCCATAATTCATTAATGAGGATTGCCTGGATTCCTAGATTGTGTGATTCACTGCAGATCAGACAGATCTACATGGAAATATGCAAATCAAAAAGTGCTAAATCGGCGATTCCCCTGATTTGATCATCCTTCGTTTCGGGTACTTTAAATATGCACATTGTCTGCACGCTTCCTTGAAGCAGTGCACTCTGTAAATGAAGGCTCTGCAAACAGAAAATCTTTATGAAAGAGATTTGCTGAGCTGTATTGAGCTGCACATTACTAATGAAACTCTTGTGAAATGAAATTAACTGTAATTTAATACAGCAATAACAATCTGACTCTAGCGGTTTCACTACAGTCACTATTCATTTCAGATGGATTTCCTTTTTATCTTTGTCTCTGATTGCTATCTTCCATTTGATTGTTGTCTTCTTGTGGACCTGTTTTCTTTTTGTCACAGCAACTCCGTTTACCTGACAATCAGATGAGATCTGGAGAAAGAGATTTTCCGAGAATTCAGGGCGTCAAGTCAAAATAAAAAAAGTATATTTTGTCACTAAGAAAATGCTAGTTTGTAACAAACAGGCATAATGGTAAATGAAAACATGAAAAATTTTATTCTACTAATTTATTAAGGACAGCAAATACTTTTAGGCCTGGTTCACACAATGTGCGTTTCAATTGCATTTTTCTGCATCCAAAGTGCACAGAAAGTTGGGTATATAATTGTCATAGTTCACATCAGTGCTTGCAGTTCCAGTGTATTCCAGGTGCAGAAAAAAAGTAGAACAGGATGCATTTTTTCTACACGGAACTGTACTGGATCGCGGTAAAAGGAATGAAAACGCACCAGAATGCACCAAAAACGCACAGGAACGCTAATATCCCTATTTAAATTGAAGAAAAAGAAAGAGGAAAACATGAACTGGAATGCGCAAAAAAAAACGCACTGGAACGCATAAAAAATGCACCAAAAACGTACATGCAAAAAACGCATCTAGACTGCGTTTCTATAGTGTGAACCTAGACTAAGAGCCAGTTCACACTACTAAAATGCTCTCCGGATGCATTCCGGATATGTTTTTGCTTGCAGTTCCGGTGCAGTTTTGATGCAGTTTGCCATGTTCTAGTATGGTTCTGTGCAGAAAAATGCAGCATGTTTTAATTTTTTTTCCTGCAGTGGAAACTGACTGGAACTGACTGCACTGGTGTGAACTAGGGCCATTCTAATACATGGAAAACACTGTACATGCATTTTTGATGCAGAACAAAAATGCACTGGACTGCATCTAGTGTGAACTAACCCTAAGGGCCGGTTCACACTATAGAAATGTAGTCCAGATACGGTCTGGATGCATTTCCGCATGCACTTTTTTTGTGCGTTTTTGACATGTTCCAGTGCGTTTTTTATGCATTCCAGTGCATTTTGGAACATTCCAGTTCATTTTTTTCCCTCTCTTTTTCTTCAATTTAAATAGGGACATGTGCATTCCGTGCGTTTTTTTATGTGTTTTACTGCGTTCCAGTACAGTTCTGTGCAGAAAAAAATGCAGCACGTTCAGCAACTGGAACGAACTGCAATTGCAAGCACTGTTGTGAACTATGACATTGACAACCATGTAACCTACTTTCTGCGCGGTTTGGATGCAGAAAAAAAGCAAGTGAAACGCATATAGTGTGAACTGGCCCTAAGTGTCCTTTCACACCTGATGTGCTGATCGATGTGTGGCAATGCATAGACATTCTAAATGCGATGGGGGAGATTTACTAAAACTGGAGCACTCAGAATCTGGTGTAGCTGTGCATGGTAGCCAATCAGCTTCTAACTTCAGCTTGTTGATTATTTTCTATGCAGAGCTGCACCAGATTTTGCACTCTCCAGTTTTAATAAATAAGTTCCACTGTAATTCATCAGGAGCAGTTCACATCAGTGCTGATGTGTGCTGTCCTGCACTGAAAAAACAAACAAACACACATGCCCTATTTTTTTCCAGAGTGTAGGAAGGTGCAGTCTGCCCTCCCATCTCTAGGTGTCACTGGATCACAGTGGCAGTACAGAAGGGGAAGGAAGGTGAGAGAAACTTAGTTCCTCTGCAACCTCTTGCCATCATTGCGGAAGCACCTGTCTGATTGGATGCCGCTGCCCTGGCTGACCTGTGTGGCTAGCCATCTTTAGTGAGGTCAGTGCTGATTTAACCACTTGCCCTCCAGAGGATTCACCCCCTCTTTCTGACCAGGCCATTTCTTGCGCTATGCCGTGTTGCGTTAATTTAACTGACAATTGCGCGGTCATCCAACACTGTACATTAATGAAATGTATGTCCTTTTCTCTCCACAAATAGAGCTTTCTTTTGGTGGTATTTGATCACCTGTGAATTTTTTATTTTTGCGCTATAAACAAACAAATGACAGACAATTTTGAAAAAAAAAACAATATTTTTTGACTTTGCTATAGAACATATCCAGTAAAAAAAATGTTGTCATAAATGCAGGCCAAAACGTATTCTGCTACATGTCTTTGCTAAAAAAAATCCCAATACATATAAATTAATTGGTTTACATGAAAGTTATAGCATCTACAAATGGCGGTATAGATATTGGAATTTTTAGTTTTATTTTTTTGTACTAGTAATGGTATAAAAATCAGCGACTTATAGCTGGACTGCCGGTGGGCATTTTGGCACTGGGTGGGAACTAACTAACTGCCACTGATATCCCCAGTGACACCAATACAGTGATCAGTGCTAATAAAAAGCACTGACACTGTACTAATGACACTGGGCAGGAAGGAGTTAACATCTGGGGCGATCAAAGGGTTAACTGTGTGCTGTGTGTGTTTTACTAGGGAAACATGCTGCTTTGTATTTCTCAGCACAGCAGTGCTCCTTCATTGTCCATTCCACAGGCTGCAGGCAAGGAGGTCACATCACATTATACCTCAACAGAGAAAGCAATGTTACCTTCCAGACTGTGCTGTCCAGAAGAGGTACACTACATTGCCAAAAGTATTGGGACACCCCTCCAAATCACTGGATTCAGGTGTTCCAATCACCTCCATGGTGACAGGTGTATAAAGTTAAGCACCTAGGCATGCAGACTGCTTCTACAAACATTTGTGAAAGAATGGGTCGCTCTAAGGAGCTCAGTGAATTCAAGAATGGTGCCGTGATAGGTTGCCACCTGTGCAATAAGCCCATCTGTGACATTTCCTTGCTACTAAATATTCCACGGTCAACTGTTAGTAGTATTATAACAAGGTGGAAGCACCTGGGAACAACAGAAACCCAGCCACAAAGTGGGTAGGCCATGTTAAATGACAGAGCGAGGCCAGCGCATGCTGAAGCGCACAGTGCGCAGAAGTCACCAACTGTCTGCACAGTCAATAGCTAAAAACCTCCAAATTTTGTGCGGCCTTCAGATTAGCACAACAGTGTATAGAGAGCTTCATGGAATGGGTTTCCATGGCCGAGTAGCTGCGTCCAAGTCTTACATCACCAAGTGCAATGCAAAGCGTTGGATGTAGGGTTGTAAATCACACCACCACTGGACTCTGGAGCAGTGGAGACGTGTTCTCTGGAATGACGAATCACGCTTCTCTGTCTGGCAATTCGATGGACGTGTCTGGGTTTGGCGGTCACCAGGAAAATTGTACTTGCCTGACTGCATTGCGCCAAGTGTAAAGTTTGGTGGAGGGGGATTATGGTGTGGGGTTGTTTTTCAGGGGGTTGGGCTTGGCCCCTTAGTTCCAGTGAAGGAAACTCTTAAGGTGTTAACATACCAAGACATTTTGGACAATTTCATGCTCCCAGCTTTGTGGGAGCAGTTTGGGGATGGCCCCTTCCTGTTCCAACATGACTGCTCACCAGTGCACAAAGCAAGGTCCATAAAAACATCAATGAGCGAGTTCTGGGTGGAGGAACTTGACTGGCCTGCACAGAGTCCTGACCTCAACCAGATAGAACATCTGTCAGGGATCGCGGCGTCCTGTCGGCCGGCGCATGCGCGCTGGCGACGGCTCACGCCGGGACACAGGCACTAGGTCCCGGCGAGCCGTGGATGACAGGATGCCGCGCATGCGCAGTGGGACCCGCGGGCGCGCCTCGGGCGGCCAATGACAGCCGGGGGGCGCGTCCCGAGCGGCCAATGACAGTGCAGGGCGCAATATTTAAAGATGCCCTGCACTGTCAGTAATCGCCGCAAGGTCTATCTGAGTTCCTGAGTCCTGTACCTGTGTTTTTGACCCTGACTACGCTGCCTACTCCTGTGTTGACCCGGATTGTCCTGACTACTCTGCCTTCTCCCATCCTGACCCTCGGCTTGTTTTGACCTCTCTACGGACTGACTTATCCTGCTGACCCTGCGTGTGACCTGACTACTCTCCGCCTGCCGACTCTGTACCTCGCCTACCCCACGGGACCCCCGCTCGTGATCCATCCTGCTAGGTCCTGCCGTCCTCCTCACATCTGGCTCTCCCGGTACCAATACATCCCCGGAGGTTGCCCCTGCCACTGGTGGGCCTACTCGGAGGTCGTGACCTGGTCCCGGTCTGTTTCAAGTCCATCCCCACCATCAGGGGCCCTGGTGAAAGCACAGACCGGGACTTAGACTCCACGCTTTGGGTAGGTCTGTCAAGTGGGCAGCCAGGGGCACCACCTGGCGGGTTCTAACAACATCTTTGTGATGAATTAGAGCAGAGACTGCGAGCCAGGCCTTCTCGTCCAACATCAGTGCCTCACCTCACAAATGCACTTCTGGAAGAATAGTCAAACATTCCCATAGACACACTCCTAAGCCTTGTGGACGGCCTTCCCAGAAGAGTTGAAGCTGTTGTAGCTGCAAAGGGCGGGCCAACTCAATATTGAACCCTACGGACTAAGACTGGGATGCCATTAAAGTTCATGTGCGTGTAAAGGCCGGCATCCCAATACTTTTGGCAATCATATGTACACAACCACTACACATTCCTTTTAAGTAAAAAATTAAGTAAAAATGCCAATACGTTTGGCAATAAAGTGAGTCATAAAAGTGGCTGGACAGAATTACAAACTCTTTTGCCAGATAAGATATTTCACATACTATATGTTTTTTCAGCTATGCATTTAGCTGGTTGCTGGAATTCAGAGGGTGGTATAAATGCTACAGTGGCCCTTTATTTTTCTGTTCACAGGTATAAACCATTCAGCGTATATAAATAACTCCAGATGCATAATCAGTAAAATGAAGTCTGCCAGAGATCCAGTCAATCCCGTAATTGGTGCCACCATCTTGGCTCTCGTGCAGTCTAGAGAAAGGTTAAGCCCAGACTGTCCATCACAGTCTCTGCCTTTCCAGTGACAGTCATGTGTTACTGCTCTCTGCATTGTCAGCAACCGGGTGTCTTGGTTATAAATAGAGATGAGTGCTTAGCTATTGACTTTTGTTAAAAAGTCAAAATTTGAATATTAGTAATAGTGCAGTTTAGTCTGCATGTTTTTAAGAAAGGCACTGACCACAGAGGAGCTACTGTGTTTACATGTGGAACCCCTTGGTGCTGGCACCTCCGAGGCACTTTAAGGGGTTTATAACGCCGGGAGGCGGGGTGGATGGGGTTTAGGATCATGTGACAGCTGTGAATGGTGGTCACAATTGGAAAACTCCCGACTGCAAGTAGCTATCAGGTCCTTTCCGCGAGGCGCCAGTAAATGTGCTGGGCATGCGCTCACTGCACTTTATGTTTACATTGGGTACGCGAATAGTAGCCCCTCAGCACCAAGGCCCAGCTGCTGAGAGGCCACATATTTGCATACGCTCCGCGCCAAGGAGTTAACTACCTGAGCCCCAGCAAGGTTTTACCCCCTTCATGACCAGCCATTTTTTGCTATTTAGCATTGTGCTACTTTAACTGGTAATTGTGTGCTCTTGAAACAATGTACTCAATTGAAATTTTTGTAATTTTTTTCCCACAACTGGAGCTTTCTTTTGATGGTATTTGATCACCACTGGGTTTTTTTATTATATAAACTGAAAAATTTGAAATAAAAAATTTTTTTTTTACTTTTTGCTATAAAACATATCGGATAAAGAATAAAAAAATCTAATTTCTTTGTACATTTAAGCCAAAATGTATTCTGCTACATGTCTTTGGTAACAAAAAATTCCATTAAGTGTATGTTGATTGGTTTGTGTGAAAGGCATAGCATCTGCAAACTATGGTGTATATACAGGAAATTTTATTTATTTTTAATACTAGTAATGGTGATGATCAGCGACCTATAGTGGAAGTGTGATATATTACGGCGGGCAATTTGACACTAACTGACACTAGCTGGGAGGTACACTAACTGACATCACCAGTGACACTAATACAGTGATCAGTGATATTACTATACACTATCACTGTACTAAGGGCACTGGCTGGGAAGGGGTTAACATCTTGGTGTCATAAAGGGGCTGTGTGCCTAACAAGTGTCATTGTATGTAACATGTGCTGATTTTTACTAACTATCTGTTCCTTCTCCCTCTGTACAGAGCCCTGTGTGTTTGCCAACACAGGTCTCCACTATGAATCATTGGCTGAATCCTGCTCACAAAATCCTGGCAATCACGAGTTAAAAATACCATAGCCGAAAAGCAAACCATCCTGGCCATGGAATGTGGAGAGCCTTGTCAGGTTGTGATGTTAGTATTTGGGTGGGTGGGCAGGTGGCTGTAAAACCATGGCTCAGCTCCCTGTTTTTACCCACCCCCTGGCTTCCCATGTGAAAGAGCCCTAAAAGCTGAAGTTCAGTAAGTTTGTTTTTTTTTCTTAAATAAACAGCATCAGGGTTGGTACTTACCATGAATGCAGAGTGTCCCATGTGCTATTGACTGCTGTGTTCAGCTGAAATCCTCAGTTCTCTGCTCCTCAGGCTGAGTGATTAGTGAATGATAGTATTGACATAGCAGTAGGAGTGGTAGCATTTTTATCTGTTTAACTCCTTTACGTCGGCCGCACACAAATGTGCGGTCTCCCGGCGTCTGGGCCTAGACGCCGAGTGGCCGCACATTTGCGTTCATGTAAGAAAAAACATATCTGCTGAGAGCACGCACCCTGCGTGCTCCCAGCACACATGTCCGGTACTCACGGAAAGGTCCCGGTCCGCTCTTTCGATCGGGACCTTTCCCGATCATGTGACCGCCGTGATGACGCGTCACGGCGGTCACATGATCCCTAAACCACGTCCTGCCCACCACCCCCCCGCCTCCCGGAGTGTGAAACTCTTAAAGGGCCGGGAGGCGCCGGCGGGAAGGGGTTAAGCATGTAATGCCGTCACATGGCTTAAAGCCCAATAGAACGTTTCATTTAAATACATTCCATGTGCATCAAACCAAAAGGTTCAAAGGCCTCATGCACACTGGGCATTTTGAAAACACTGTATAAAGTCGTGTTAAATGCGCATGTTTTTCTGCATTTTTTAGCATTTTTGCATTAGCGTTTAGTTTTGTTTTTCCCAGTTTTTCTGCATTAGCGGTTTTAGCATTTTTTTTACACAAATAAATACAATTTTGCTTAAAAAAAAAACGCTCAATAATGCTGGTTTACCGTTTTTTCCCGCATTTACCAGCGTTAGAGCATTTTTACAGCTAAAAAACTCCTCTTGATACCCACTAGTTCTGTTTTTTTTTCCATCCAGAAAACGGCCCTGCTAAAAAACGCTGATTAAAGCCAATGTGTGCATGGGCATATAGGATAACATGCTGGGGAGTTTACTTACTGTAGAAAAAAATGCCAGAAGGCAAAAACAGCAGCAGTACAAATGCCCAGTGTTCATGAGGTCTTACAGTTTGTTCTTTGTAGAAAGTTGCCAGAGAATAGGAAATCTTGTCCTCTGTCAGCATGTTGCATATTGAGCCTATGTTACAGAGAGTAGTCTCTCTGCAGAGGTCCAATGCACTCCCTGCTGTATCATACCTATGGATCTGCAATCACCAAAACTCACGCTCCCTGCGCTGATTGGGGTCCTCTAGTCCTG